GACTGTGTCTCTGCTGCCACACCCGAACCCAGCATAATACCTAGCTCAAAATGAAAACTGGCATTTTTAAAGGTATTTCTGGGGCCAGCCTGGTGGTACAGCAGTTAAGTGCGCACGTTCCACTTCGGTGGCCTGGGGTTCACCGGTTTGGATCCCGGGTTCGGACATGGCGCCGCTTGGCAAGCCATGCTGTGGTAGGCGTCCTACATATAAAGTAGAGGAAGATGGGCACAGATCTTAGCTCAGGGCCAGTCTTCCTCAGCAAAGAGGAGGATTGGCAGCAGATGTTAGCTCGGGGCTAATCTTGCTGTGGTAGGCATCCCACATACAAAGTAGAGGAAGATGGGCATGGATGTTAGCTCAGGGCCAGTCTTCCTCAGCAAAAAGAGGAGGATTGGCAGCAGATGTTAGCTTGGGACTAATCTTCCTAAAAAAAAAATAAATAAATAAAGGTATTTCTGTACTTGCTTTTTGTAAATGAATGTATTTCCTTACCAAACAGCTAGTTGGCATATGCTTGGTTGTATTGGACAGGAAGTTTTAAGAGATGTAGGTTCTAAGCCTAGTCCCCTCTGCCAGCCCCACTTCCTGGTCTCAACCTCATGGAATAATAGGATGAGAGGACTCTGGTGGAACCAAAACATGTTGTTATTAACAAGGCTTCCTTTTTAATTTAAAACTAACCAACATCAGTGGAATGGTGTGGGAGGAGGCAGGCTTGATAGCTAAAACGCCAAGATAGTTTTTCATATTTGGTCTCCTTTTTAGACTAAGTCTCATGAGCACTAAAGGTTCTTGAGAGCCTGCCCGGACGCTAAGAGTGACAGCACTGTCTGTTCTACCAAAGACCCCACAGCCTGGGGTACTCGGTCCTTGCTCTCTAGTCAGTCGGCCAGCCAGACTTCCTGGCTGCAGGCTCTGCCCTTTACTCTGCAAAGTGAGGATTCACACGCAGTTGCTCAGTACTCATCAGCATCCTCTGTCAAATTAAACGTAATACTCTACACTGAAGGAATACTTTTTCCTTGTGAATTTCTTGCTGCAGACAGTGCAGTGAGGTATGAAGTGGACTGCACGTTTTGTTTTATGGACTTAGAATAAATACATATTCCATTTCTGTTTTCATAGGCAATGGCAGCAGATAAAAGTGATGAATGGTTTGCTAAACGAAATAAACCAAAGGCTTCAGGTTAACAGAAGACATCATGTGGAACAAGCATTTATCGTTCCTGTCTAGCACCTGTGAGGCCTGGTGTGTCCATCATGATAAATGCTCTCACAACCTGGTTGTTTCTGTACAGACAAGGAGATTGGGCTGGTGAAGATTTATGTATTTTAATCTTCGAAAGCTCTGATACATTTTAGATATAAAATCCTATTATCAGTCCGCTTAGAGGCGAACTCTTGCTATAATCTGCATTGTCATTGGAATGGCGCATTCTGTGTGTAACCTAATTTATTAGATTAGTAATAAATTATTTTCCAGCCTGGGGCAGCTATGGGGTATGTTACCTTTGGTCGGGGATGAAGGGGGTTTTGATAAGCATGTAAATTTTATGAGAACTATTCAAATGAATCCTAACCAGTTGCGTACAGCAGGAATACTTCCAGCACCCAATGACAGTGTGCTGTTCTAATGAAGTGCAGGCCTTGACATTTAAAAATCTTTAAAGAAATTTTGTTCCTCCAACCAAAAGATTTGGTTGACACCCCCACATTCCTTGCTTTAAAATTTTGCGTAGCCAGGGAAAACAGCCGGAAGGGTCTAATGTATTGTGTTGCTACATGCCTGGCTCTCTGCTAATTTCTTTATATATAAATTTTTTTAATCCTTACAAGAAGAGAACCTGTTAGACTTCTTTAAAATGGATTAAATGATTTCTTCAGCCTGAAAACAGTGTTTTCCTATGGTTTTCTATTTGGTTCTACAGAACAAATATATTTTAATCACTGGAAGCAGAATTATATTGGGCATACTTATTAAATGTTTTTTGAAAGTATACTTCTGAAATCAAGCTGTCACACTAGCCTGCAGACTCATTATTTAAAGTGGTGGCCAGGTTCCAATTTTAGGGAAGACACTGAGGGGACTGGAAAGGATTGACTCAGAGGATACCAGTTCCAGAATAGCACATATGAAATTACTTGTAAATCATAGCCTCTGCTTTCTCCCTTGCTGGCAGTGGCAGTGGGGGGGTTGGGGTATGGAAATTTCAGGGTGAGTTTCAGCTCACCTTCTTATAGGGTGATCTTACCTTCACTGAGAAAAAAATATCCTTTTCCAGCTCTACAGCACTTTTCATTCGACTTAAATTCTCTTAGGGAAGCAATCATGAGTTTGAAAGCAAACCAAGTTATACGTGTTCTTTCTCTAGACGGTTCACTTTTTTCCTATACATGGGGAAATTGTATGAATTTTGAATGCTCAAACTTCTGTGTCTCTTTAGACTATGACTTGTTAATTCTCAGATTTTCTATTAGATTATTTAAGTAACTCTTGATGTTTATCTCTAGTAATACTGTTATCATGAAAATGAACTATCCTTTCCCCAGTGTATTAGGCTGCTGCGCTCTGCTCTTCTAAGTGTGTTATAATAAAATAAGTGGTTTATGTAAGTACTGAATGACTAGACACACACTCCATTCCTTTTTATCTGCTTATCTTATATTTTAACGTACCAAAATGTTTTTCTCTTAAAGGTACAGCTGTGTATGGTCTAAGTTAATGTGGTTTATCTACCTGGGACAGTATGGCTTCATGATAGCAGCCCCTTTTTATTTATCTCACTGCCTGTCATTTTTCCTTTGTTGCAATCTTTAGTGTTTAATTCATCCTAAAACCATTTAGTGTACAACTTTGGCCTTTTTGATAATCCAAAAATTTATCTCTGCACAGTGCAGCTAGTAATTTTAACCCAAAAGTTATGATTACTTCCCCATCTTTGGGGATGGTATGATCAACTAGAAAACAAGGATGTAAGAAAGATGGTTTTCCCAAGCTGGTGTTTTTAAACAGATGAAGTCGGAAAGTTTTTCAGTTTCTCCAGAGTAGTGTTTTCAGAGTAGTCATTTTGTCTTTTGACTTGTGGAGTCCTAGCATAGTAAGTTTAAGTTCATATATCCCTTGGGTTTAAATCCAGAGAGATTTAGGATGGCTGTATCGCAAGAGTTCTCCCGCCTGGAGAGTTGTATGAAATCCATATTTGCCTGACCTCTTGGTGGAATTAGCAAAGCCATGAATATTCAGTGCTCCTTTATGTGACTTTTGCCCATCTCGTTTGTCAGACAGCGCCATTGTGGTTTAGCAGAGATTCCAGGAAGGCTCCAACTTTTCTCCACTGAAATTTATGGTAAGAATTAATGGGAAATTTTAGTTTGGTCTAAGATTTCTTATGTTTACCCTTGGGAAATTTATAGGAAATTTACTTTGGCCTTGTGATCAGTAAAGAAGTGCCCTTGCCTCAGACTCTTCATAAGGTAGGAGAGTCTATGGTTCAAAAATCAAAACAGCATAAAAAGGTAGACATTGAAAAGTCTGGCTCCTGCGCATCCCCATCAGCTCCACTCCCCCGCCTCCTACTTATTAAGCATACAAATATATATTTTTTTATTCTCTTCCTTTTTCCCACCAAATAGAATACACTGTGTACACTATACCTGCTTTTTTTTTTTTTTAATGTATCTTACAGTTGCTTTCTGCAGTTCTAATTATGGTACACTTTTACTTTATCAGGTTTTATAATGATTTACAGAATGGTATGGCTATGCCTACAGCTCCTAAACTGACGCCACATTTTGGAGCAAGATGTTCCATTATTACTTTTACTATTAATTCACATTTAATATAAATCATAGTCCTAAAAGCTTCAAAATTTGTTCATAATATCCTCCAAAAAAGAGAGAACAGCACAATTATTGTGCAGTGTGGCTCATGCCCAGCTTATAGTTATAGGGAATACGTTTGTCATCACTGCTGTCCTGGGTATACTTCACATTCTCAAGGAATGTACTTGGTTTATAGCAGCTTCCGGCAAACTGGTGAACAGAAGATCCTGAAGAGATCTGGTGAGATTTGGTTTCTTCGTCCTCTGAAGTCTTTGTGGTTTTTGCTTCTATTGTTTAATGGTCTTTATGAACTGGAGCTGCCTGATGTCTATGAAAATAGTTTTTAATTGAGGAAAAGTATTGGGGAATTCCATGCCCCAGCAGAGCTTTTTCCCTGGAATGTCTTTAATCATGCCACTGAGCACTGTGTCCCAGCACGGCAGCACTCTGCATCAATGCCTCCATGACAAGGGGCAGAAGCTGAGCTCAGGTACTGTGGCCCTCGCATAGGTTACCGGGTGTGTTGTGCTCCTAAACCAAAAGCCACAGACGTACTTACATACATGTTGTCCCACCAGCATGCCCCAGCAGAGACCAAGGTTAGCCATGGAGTGGTCCCAAGGAACTTGGCTGTGTGGCCTTAGAAGAGTCTTTCAGAGGCTGGGATTTTGAAACCACTGCTCCAGTGTTTCTCAACTCTGTTGTGGTGCATCAATTACTTCACTAAAAGTTTCACTTCCCTCAAAACATTAACTTCATCAGGCCTGTGTGCAAGTAGGCGCTGTCTGTAGTAGGACTTGACTAGCTTTTTGGAAGACAAGGCCCCTTTCTCCTCTGAAATGGGGGTTTAGTGTGAATCCATAACCCCTGAAGAGATAAGGGACCTCAGCCTCCCCTCCCTCCTTCCCCTCTCCCCCAGAGGGGAGCTCCAGAGAACCGGCTCACTGACCTCAAGTCTTGGGCATTTTCACAGCATGATTCTCCCTTCAGCCTTCTACTCCTGCCAAATAGCTACCAACACTCTGGGAATAGAAAGACTTTACTCAGAATCAGAGAGAAAGCCAGTTTTGATGGACTTTCCCCACAGGAGAGATGCTTTTTATATATTGTGGACACCTGCCCGGGACTCTCACAGTCACTTAGAGTTCCTCGCTTTGCCAACAGCAGACAATCACTGTATGTGGTGTAAGTGATTTATTGATGCCCCAGCTATGGTGGTTACGTTTCAGGACACTTGCGCCATTCAGGTCTTTTAAAAAGCCCTTCTCCCCGCGCTACCTCATTCTGATTGACACGCTACCTTCCTTAACCAGTATCATTTTTCTTCAGTTCTTCCACTTTGGCAACATAGATCCTCATGGCGTCCATCTTGGATATCCCTTTCTTGTCGTTCCACGCGTCCCACTTGGCCTTGGCTTTCACGTCTGTGGCGGGCGGGGCCGGGATGTTGCAGTCGCCCTGGGTAGCCTGTTTGTAGAAGCTGTACACCAACAGTTTCTCCTGATCGCTCACAGGTCCCTTTAACTGCTTGATAGCAGCACAGGCCAGCTCAAACTCCACCTGGCACATTGCGGGAGCTCAGGCCGGCCCCTCGCTCCTTTCTAGGTGGTATCTGGTGCTAGAAACTGGAGGGTGGACAGTTAGAAACACTTGAGGCTGGTGATTAAGTCTGGGAAGAAGGAAAGGGGAGAAAAAGAAACGGTAATGTGTGAGAAGAACATAGGATATTTCTGTGTGTTTTCTCGGAAATCAAATGTGTGTTTTTATAAAGTACAGATTGCAAACTAGAGCCCACTGGATTGCATCTGCCCCACAGTTCTTGCACAGTGCATTTTCTGGGGAGAAAGCCCATTAACATTTCAAAGGCATCTATGATGCCAGAAAATTAAGGTGCTGCTGCTGCTGTCAGAAGGCGGAGCGCTGGGGAAGATTGTAGGCTGTGGGGCTAGCGGAGGGGTCAGAGAGCCTGAGAGCGGGATAGCCGCTGCGGGGGCGGAAGCCGCTCGGAGAGTGGCGCGTCTATGCTGGTTAGGGGGCGGTCTGGGGAGGGGCATTCCGTGTGGGTGAACTGTGAGCGGGGGACCCCGGGAGTTACCGAGCAGGGGAGCATGCAGGGTCAGGGATGGAGTAGCACCGACCAGGACTCAGGAAGCAGGGCTAGGCAGGGGACTGGACAGATGCGTGGCCGAGAGCAGCAAGGAACAGGCGGCGACGGGGCCTGGGGACCTGGGGCGGGCGGGGCGGAGGGAGAGGGAAGGGCGGGCCCGCCGGGCGGGAGGGAGGCGCCGGCACCTGCTTGTTGGCCGGCTGGAGGCCTCGGGCCGATAGGGGGCGCTGCGGGCTCGTTGGTGAGGATTGCGCGTGCGCGCCGAGCAGCAGGACGCGTGTGCCGACCGCGCGCAGCCGGGGCTGGGACTGGGGCGGTCCCTGAGGCGCGGCCTATTGTCCCGCCCCCCGCGCTGCCCATTGTGCCGTGGCGCCTGCGCCGCGCGCGGCCTTGCGGGGGAGGGGCGGCTCGTGCCGCTGCCAGCGTCGCCGCCATGGACCTAGGTGGGTGTCCTGGCTCTCCTGTTCCGGGTCTGCCTGGGCCGCATCCCGCAGCGGGCGACCGGGCGGTGCTGAGCGGGCCCGGGCCAAGGGGGAGCTCCGGGGCGGGGAGGGGTGTTGGAGGGCCAGGTGTCCTCGGAGAACGGGGGTCGGGAGGCCGGGCTCTAGCCCCGACCCCGCCGCGCCTTGGCCGGCGGCTTGCCACTCGGGGCGCCTTTCCACGCGAAAGGCCAAGCGGATGTGAAGTTAGGGTCCCTGCAAGTGGACCGGGCTCGTGCACGTGTTTTGGAACATGCTGGGCTCGAGGACGTGCCGGGGAATCCCGGCTGCCCCGACGGTGTCATTTATTGAACGTCTAAGTTCTTCAGCAAGTGCCTTAGGCTCGTGAGGTCCTCATCGATAAAATGTACCCGCCTCACAGAGTTGAGGGGCGTTTGCGTGGAGAGCACGTGTATAGGGTCTGGTACGGAGCCAGCGTTCCTCCGACCAGCGGTTGTGGGGAGGGGTTGCAGCAGCCGAGGGGGCACGTGCAAGTCGATTCAGAATCCTCAGTGGCAAGGCTGAGAGAAGCGAGCGGGGAGCAGCTAATATCGGTGGCTCCCGCCCAGCCTCCCACCCTGCTGGATAAGACCAGGAGGCTGTTCTGGGAGAATTGGGGCACGGTACCCCAAGATGTGCCAGTTGTAGTAGGCTGTGGAGAAATGGTTGGGTCCCTGTCCCCAGCCACTTCTTCAGTGGTGGCACGGTAAAGCTAGAAGAGTTCGCAGCCCTGCAGCTGTGGTGATTTCTGTCCCAGCCGCACCGCTTTGCAGTTGTGACATCCTGAGCAAATTGTTTCTGAGTCTGTGTTCCCATCTCTAAAACGGCAATAGTCCTCCAAAGGTTGGCTTGAAGATTACAAGAGATCTTATATGCATAGCACCTGGCACAGAGCCTGGCACGGGATAAGCACTTAAACATAACGAGTGGGCACTCACAAGCACCAGTTAACCAGCAGTGATAAAACACTTGGGATGCTCAGGTAGTAACTGCTTCTGGGACTTATTCCCTTAAATAGCACGTGTATGTCCTTATGGATTATGTCTCTGGAAAGTAGGTGTTGGGGGCAAGCATCTCAGCTGAGCTGATAATGCAATAAAGTTAAATTTACAGTCATAAGGGAACATATATGGGAGAGCAGTCTGAGCCAGAAAGAAGGGCCAGGACGCCTAGAGAGAGCCCTCAGTAGCCTAACCCTCCCTGGGCGTCTGCCTCGGCTGCTGGGAGCCAAGGTGGATTGCCTTCACCATGCTTGCCTAGGAAGACTGAGCCCTTGGCCTTTTGCTGCTCCCTTAAATGGTCGGAGGGGCCGAGTATTCTGTAGTCTCCTGGAAGCAGGATTCTCTCTGTTGGCTCCTGGCATGTGAAAAGGGGGAAAATGTGTTCTTGAGGGCATGAGGGACTGACGAAGGAGTGGCATCTCTGGGCCTTGGGAGCAGGGGAGTCAGGAATACTGAATAGTGAGCAGTGTTTGTACTCTGATGTAGTTTCTGGGCCAACAGAACATACCTGAGAAAGACCTATGTCCTTTCTCATTTCTGAGCTGGGAGAGGCCAAGACTAGTGACAATATTCTGGTTCTGCCAACAATGGAAGGGCTTAGGGAAACCAGCATTTATTGAGCAGCTAATCAGGCTCTTCGTAGCCTGACTCTTATCGTAGCTGTATCATACTTAACCCTCAGCAGCCCTGGCACATGGGATCGAGAGCTAACAGCACCAACCCAGGGCCAAGGGCTCAACTAGCATATAGCATTTGATCCTCCAAGTCATAATATGAAACCTGTGTTATCCCCACATAGGCAAAGGGAAGCTCAGGGAAGTAATCTGTCCAAGACCACACTGCCTTTAAGTGGCTGAGCTCGTATTTAAACACGTCCAATTAAACATCCCAAGATGCCTCCTTGATAAGGCTGTGTCGATTCATGGCTCACTGAAGGAAGGACTTTTCCTTCTTAATCTAGTGCAGTATTTTTTTCTGCCTACCTCTCGGTTTCTACCAGAGAACCAGGGCCTTTAGTAGCTTGTTCTCCTTGATGGAAAGAGCCATGGAATGAACTGTTTCCCTGAAAGGCGGAACATCTGAAATCTGGTTGCAAGACAAGGCTCTAAAGGAAAAGGGGGAAGGTAGGGCTTGTCTGATTGCTTCTGGACCCCTCCTAGTCTGCATCCTTACTTAGAAAGTCAATTGTCATGTCCTGCAGTACGTACTTGGTGGCTCCTGTGGTTTGGTGCTGTCCTTGTGCTGTCCACTCTCTCTCTCAAGGTGTTCCTCCCCAAATCCTCTGCTGGCCCACCCTTTGCTGGAGGGCCTGGCCTCAGCCGTCCAGCTTTTCCTCTTCATCTGCTTTTCCTGCAGGATCTCTGTCATTTCCTTGGTTCCAGTGATCCCCTCTGGGCAGATTCCTCCCCGAGTCACTTTTCAGGGCTGACTTTCCTCCTGAGCTTCAACCCCTCATTTCCATTGCTGGAGGACATTTCTACCTTAATGTTCTGCCTCAAACTCCAGATAACCAAATCTGAACAGTGTTCCCTCCAGACCTGTTCTGATTCTCCTGCCTTCCCTGTTTCCAATTGGAAACTGTTGTCATCCCAGTTCCAGGCTAGAGAGCTGGGGATCCTTTCTCATTCCTCGGGTAAGTGCTTTTGACTCCAGCTCTGCAGCGCCTCTTAGAACCATCCCTTCTCCCCCCTCTCCCATTGATTTCATTTAGAACCCTTATCATCTCTAAGCCTGATAATGACAGCCAGCCCACTAACTGCTGTCTCTCCCTCTAAGCTCTGCTTACTGTTTTGAGAATTTTTTCACCACACTATCTTATTGGGCTTCTCTCTGTGCAGGACCCTTGAATATCTGTGAAGAAATGACTATTCTGCATGGGGGCTTCTTGCTGGCTGAGCAGCTGTTCCGCCCCAAAGCATTGGCAGAATTGACAAAGTCTGACTGGGAGCATGTTGGGCGGCCCATTGTGGAGGCCTTGAGGGAGATCTCCTCCACAGCATGCTCCCAACCCTTCGCCTGGAAGAAGAAAGCTCTGATCATCATCTGGGCAAAAGTTCTTCAGCCTTACCCTGTCACCCCTTCTGACACTGAAACTCGGTGGCAGGAAGATGTGTTCTTCTCCGTAGGCAACATGATCCCTACCATCAATCACACGGTCCTTTTTGAGCTGCTCAAGTCCCTGGAAGCTTCTGGACTCTTTATCCAGCTCCTAATGGCCCTGCCCACCACCATCTGCCGTGCAGAACTAGAGCACTTTTTGGAGCACATGATGATTGACACTTCGTCAAAGGATGTGGCCTTTTTCCTTGATGTCTGGTGGGAAATGATGAAGCACAAGGGCAATCAGCAGGACCCCCTGCTCTCTCAGTTTAGGACAATGGCCCATAAGTACTTGTCCTCTACAGATGAGTTCTCCCATCCTCCAAAGAGGTTTAAGTCAGACCCAGATGTGTGTCCTACCATGCCACTGTTGGCCATGCTGCTTACGGGGCTGAAGCAAATTCAAAATAGAATCCTGTGCCCTGGGATGAAGTGCTGTGCATTAGCCAACTTGGCTGACATGCTCACTGTGTTTGCACTGATGGAGGACGACCCCCAGGAAGTGTCTGCAACTGTATATCTAGACAAACTGGCCACAGTGATCTCCGTGTGGAATTCAGACACCCAGAACCCATATCACCAACAGGCACTGGCAGAGAAGGTAAAGGAGGCAGAACGGGACGTCAGCCTGAGCTCACTGGCCAAACTCCCGAGCGAGACGATTTTCGTGGGGTTTGAGTTCCTGCGCAGCCTGCTGCGGGAGTGGGGGGAAGAGCTGCAGACCATGCTCAATAGCAGCCAAGGGACCAATTATGACAGCTATCGGCTGTGTGACAGTCTGACTTCCTTCAGCCAGAACCTGAAGCTGTACCTGAATACCACGGGCTTGTCCAAGGAGGAGAGGCAGGTAGTCTCCGAGCTGGCAGAGTGTGTCGAGGACTTCCTGAGGAAAACAAACAGGGTACTGAAGAACAAGGGCTTCGAGCAGGACATCACCGCCTCGATCGCCATGGCCATTATTGAGCAGAAGATGGACCGGCATATGGAAATGTGCTACATTTTTGCTTCTGAGAAGAAGTGGGCCTTCTCAGACGAGTGGCTAGCATGCCTGGTTAATAACCAGGCTCTCTTCCGAGAGCCAGACTTGGTGTTAAAGCTGCTGGAAACAGTGATAGAAGTCAGCACGACAGACAGAGCCATCCCCGAACCTCAGCTCAAACAAGTGATCAACTTGATCCTGGAATGTTATGCAGACCTGTCACTTCCAGATAAAAATAAAGTCCTCTCAGGTGTCCTGCTTTCCTGGGGGCGAAAGGGCCTCTCTGAGAAGTTGCTAGCTTACTTGGAGGGGTTTCAGGAAGACCTCAATACGACTTTCAACCAGCTTGCTCAGAGTGCCTCTGAACAGGGCTTGGCTAAAGCTGTAGCTTCTGTGGCCCGCCTGGTAATACTGCACCCGGAGATGACAGTGAAGAAAATGTGCAGCATGGCTGTGGTCAATCTCGGCACCCATAAGTTCCTGGCTCAGATTCTCACTGCCTTCCCGGCCCTTAGGTTCACAGAAGAGCAGGGTCCAGATCCATCCATCACTTTCATGGTGTCATGCCTCAAAGACACTGTGTGGACAAAGTTCTCTACACCCAAGGAAGAAAAGCAGTTCTTGGAGCTCCTGGGCTACCTGGTGAGGCCTGTGAAGCCCCAGGGGATTCCAGTTGCTGCTCTTCTTGAGCCAGATGAGGTGCTAAAGGAGTTTGTCCTGCCTTTCTTGATGCTAGATGTTGAAGAGGTGGACCTCAGTCTGAA